AGATTTATTCGGCCTCCTTTTCCTCACCGTAAATTAACATCCTGTAGTTTTTTTTCTCATACAAATGTGGGACAACAGAGAGATTTTTTTGTCCAGCTGCATTTGGCCCGGAGGTTCATCTCAGCCCCAAAGCCAAAACACTATTCAACTCTATTATTTCTGTGTCGAACGTGCCCCCCCCGCTGGTGTGTTTCATTGCCGTGGAGAACAGGAGCAACTGGGATTGACCTGCTGGCCGCGCTCGTTCCAGCACTGACTCCGTTTCACCTCCAGGTGCTTTGTGAACTACTGCTGTGGATGACACGCAACAGCAGGAGTTGATGAATAAAGTATTGAGACTTTTATATTCAGCTTCCGAAACAACCAACAAATCCATTAATGGCCTCGTCATCTAATGTCAGCTGCTCAAATTTAGAAATTTCAAATGGTGAAAAATAAATCGGCCATTATGTCAACCGTTAATTCTGCTTGCCAAATTAATGTTGTACAAACTTTGTCACAAATGCGTTCATTGGGCTTATTTCTTTGTCAAAGGTATTGCTGACTGTAAAGTTTTTCCCTTTGGGTTCAGAATGTCAACATCTCTTAAAAAGTCACTGACGGCTGCTGAACAATAGTCTTTTTCAAAACCTGATTTTCAGTTTTGCAGCTCCACCTGTGTGTGTGTGTGTGTCTAAAGGTAAATGTTACTTTTTTGTTTACAACGTGGTTTCCAACTAAAGACACTTAAAAAGCCAAAGCTAGTGATGGAGAACGTGATGGTGTAGTTCGGCCCTCCTGCAAACAAGGTCAGTGCGTCGTGATCAATGAGAGTAGACCTTGTGTTGCCCCCCCTCACCCGCCTCACACTCATTTTTGCTTACAATTGTAGAGAAGCTGATTGAGCCAACTCCTGCTAATCTGCTTTCAGCCCACACTTTGTAAGACAAAGTGCACCCTGGCACAGACGCACACAGGCGCTGGACGCATAGAGGAGTCATTTGTTTTCCTCTGAGTGCCCTTAATGCTCGCCGGTGCAATCAACTTAAAAAAAGTCTTTTGATGTTGAAGCCTTTTTTTTTTGGCAGGCTAAAGTAAAGTGGATTCTGTTTATCCCCTACGATCACGCTGAGAGCTGCTCATTCAGTGTGCAGGTGAAGGCCCCACTCAGGTGGGTTTAAACAACGGGTGCTTGAAGTAGAAATGTTTACCGAAGCCGTGTTCACCTGAATGCATAGCAAGCATCACGATGTGTCAACGCCTCCGTTAAGCGTCTCAGCTTTTTCTCTCTTGTTTGAATGCGCTCACACTGCACAGATGGCCTCTACAGAAAGGTTATGTGTGATTTGACGGTTGATTACTGTACTTCTGTGTGAGGAGTTGGAAAAGGTCAAATTGATCGCAATGAGCATAATAGTTACCACGATACCATTCTGTTCTAACGTTGGATTCAAATTGCAGGTAGCTGGCAAGGTCCTAATTGAGATTGGATAATAGGTAGATATTCACTTTCTCTCATCAGTGAGCTAAGAGTCGAATGTTCCGTGACAAGAATATGTTTCCAAACCTTTTAGCGTTGTCCTGTGTCATCTCAGCCTGATGACGGGATTAATGCCCCACTAAATTACGCAGTAGCTGAATCTGTTAAGTGCATCCAACAACACTCTGCACACAATACCTCTGTCGTTTATCAAGAGAACCCTGGAAGGAACTGTTCTTCGACTGAAGAGTTGGCATAGAGTACCTGTTTGAAAAGGCCGTCATAAAGTTCAAGGAGTAAAAAAGCTTGACCAAAGGAGTCTGTTGCAATGTGTGCATTCATTTGCAAACATTAACAACTGGGGGGCAATAGTCACACACCAACATACTTACTTGCATACAGACGGACGGAGACTCCTTGCTTTAAAGTTTGATTGCAACACAAACACGAGTTAAGGTCATTTCACGGCGCCGTCTCTGCCATCCGTCCGTCAATTCAGCGTGCAAAGACAGGCAGCTGTCTCTCAGCCCCCCCCGCCCCCCCGAAGAAAGAGATCCCCCAACCCCTCCCCCACATTACCAGCACCACTACCCATCCTTGCAGTGAGAATAATGCCTGTGTGTGATGTGTCCGTAGAATGTAGCACCTGGGTCCCGCTGAAGACTCCTGTCTGCCCGGGTCAGATGTCTCCTGGTACATACACACACACACACACACACACACACACACATGTGCCCTCCGTTCCTGTTGTTCAAGCACTCTTTGCTCATTCATATGCTTCAAGGGATTCCTATTTTGCTGCCTGGATTCTATTCCTTCCGGTGCTGTGGGAGTCCGCACCTGTGGGGTTCATGCATATATAAACACACACACACACACACACGTCGGTGCGCTGAATTTGCTTTGGTGGCTCCCATTTTAAGCTGTGGGGAAGCTCACTCTGGAAGCGTTTGTGTTTGCCCTCCTTCCCGAGTTCCAGCTGCAACGAAAATGGATGCAGGAGCTGCGGAGGAGACAAATGGAGGTAAAAGAATATCATCAGACTCCAGCTGCCACTGGGGATTCATAACAAAAAGCTAAATGTGCACTGTGCATATAAAAAAATAAAAAAATAAACTCATGGACCTGTAAAGCCACTTCTTGCAGAATGTACACACAATATGTGTGGCAAGAAATCGTCAACGTTAATTATGGGAATTTCTGAATATAACTCGACATGCAATCTAAGATGTGTGTGTGTGCAGTTGTGTTAGCTATTTGTTCCGTTTATGAGTGTGTGTAGGGTGTGTTACTTTCTCCTCCGTGATGGGGTGCTCCGGCTCTGGGGTCCGCCCCTCCCTCTGCCTTCCTCAGTCAGACGTGTGATGTGTCTCTTCCTCATGTGCTCAGGACACTCTGCTCGCCAATGTCCTTGTTGTCCACAATTGTAACACACGTTTGGATCATAACTCCCGTAAGTCCGATCTGCCTCTGCCACGATCTCTTCCATAACCTCTTCCTCTTCCACGTTGGCCTTGGGCAAATTGTTGGCACTGCAAGCACGTAAACATTGCATACTGAGCCTGTTCAAAACCTTTTAGTTTGTCCTCTTTCTTGTGTAACTCATCTTCAGCGTGTTCAGCGTGCTGAAGGATGTCTGCAAGAGCACACGTTTTCCAGGTTACACATGATCTCTTCACCATCCGTATAAGCTCAGGTCTCATTCTGCTTATAAAATGTTCTTTCAGATGGACTTCATATGGCATCAGGGGCTGTGCCCCCATTGGATCAGGTCGCTTAAGGCCACTGTGGGTGTCAAAAGCTGTCGTCAGGCGTGCCAGGAAGGAGCTGCATGTTTCTTGTGGCCCTTGTGTCATAGAGGTGACGGTGGGGAGGTTCAGTCTCAGAGGAAATTGTTCTTTTACCAACACAATGAGAGCATCTACAGCACTTCTAATGTCCACATCTGTGCCGTGCTCACAATCAGGATCTTTAAGGCGAGCAGCCATTCTTGTGGTGTTGAACACACTCTGAACTTTGTGATAGTCATGTGTCAGAAGTCTGCACATCACACGCTGCAGCTCTGACATGCTAGGATGGTATTCTCTGACAAATTGCTGAAGATCAGTCTCCCACTTAGCAAGATTGTCCTTGGGACTGCAGACGTGGCTCATTGCCTTGGTCACATCGGCATCTGACCAGGGTCTGAGAACCAGCATCGGCCCTTGCACCCCCTCGACTGGAAAAGAAGCTGCAGGATTGAACAACGTCTTTTTTTCTTCTCTGAGCAAGACCCGTCTTTGTTGAGCCTGCGAGTGGGTCACAGTAGGTGAAAAGGTCGTCTGGCTGGTGCTGGAGGTTGAATCTGGCTTCCCTCCTGGTGGGCTGTTGTCAAGCCGAGGAAAGTTTGCTTGTGCTGCTTCCTGCCGTGGAGACTGTGGGCTCATGAAGGCGGGAGCTGGAGGAGCAGTGAGGGGAGGGGGGGAGTCCAGATCCGTGTCCACCAATCTCCTCAGGAACTCATTAAAACAAGGATAAAGTGTTTTGGGGTTAGAAGGGGTACACATTTCAGAACCTTATGTAGGATCTTTGGTCTTTAATGAATGAAATGCTACCAACCTCTGTCTCTCCCTTCTCTCCGACTCATACTTCCACATCTTGAAAGCTTCCCAATCTGCCTTACATACCACATTCTTCTTCTGCTTTCTTCCCGACAGGCCTGCATGCTGAGCTGCATCGTTCTTCTCCTTCCCCCCCAGTTGCAATTCCAACTGTTCCAATTGATTCTCACTCAAAACTCCCCTTTGAAGGAAACCCCAATTCAACCCATTTTTGTATTTGATTCAAACTGCCAGGATAACGCTCTGACATAAATTTACACAATAGTGGCAGGATATTAGTCTCATGGTTTTCACCCGTCTCCCCTTTACTCTGAACACTACCCATTTAGTTATCTGTATCTGTATACAAGGAGTGTACGCGCCTATAAAGGTGCGCACAAACGGAGAAATACCACATGCATAACTAAGGCAAGTCAGTTGACCGTTGCTTTCTCTGGTCACTCAGTCTACTGCATCGATCCAAAGTCGCGCCTGTGAACTTCAGACACAGGATGTTGCAACCTTGTGACGAATACTACAGGTGACCCAGACACGTCTGTCTACAACACACTCGTTGTGAGATAGGCCTAAAACCCTTTTGTCATGACTCTGTCTGCCTTAAAATAATTTTGATCTCTCACCGCGGCAGCTTCTCACCCTCAGGGAGGAATCACCTATACTAAATGGCCTCCTGTCCGTCCATCAGAGTCCAGATCACGCGTCCATCCCATCCTCGTCGCCAAGTTTGTGGTGGAAATTTGTGGATTTAGCCCATGTGAGAAATCAAAAGTATCTTGAGCTTGCTTTGTGATTAAGTATTTATTACTAACTAGAATATAGAAAAATGATAAAGAATACAGAAATCATCAGCACAAGTCGTAAGCACAGACAGGAGTCAAGTGACTACAATTCAGCTTAAAAGGGGCAGATGTTCCTTCCCCCAAAAGGAGCAGGAAGATCTGACAAAGTTTCTATGGGGAACCAGGAGCTTTTATACATCAGGTTCGAGGAATGGTACCAGATGTTGTTTCGGGAACCTCCGCGACCCTCTCTTAGTGGGACCAAGTCAATCATTTTGACAGACAGGAAAACAGAGGAGAAAGGTAAATAGAAGAACATGATATGATCTGTCCAAGTCACATATGGATTTCATCGTGGACTAGGTCAGGTCACGAGTTTCACAAGAAAGGTCACATACGAGTTCTTGAGACTCTCACAATATGCACCTCAACAAATTCTCCCCCGACAGAAAACCCTTTGCCTTCCATGCTTGTCTTACTCGTTTCTACAGTATCATTGTTGTGTCTTCATTGTTGCGTGCATGCGCGTTCGCCATGTTGTTTGCTCCCCCCTATAATATATTAAAAAAAAGGCGAGGAAAATTACCTCTGTTGCTGTTCTCCATCCCTCTCCATTTTTATGGATCTATGCCTCCTTTCCCTTTCTCCTCATCTACCCCTCTTTTCCTCCCTCCTCTCGGCCCCAAATCCCAAAACTCTCGCCTTTTCGCCGTTGCCGTGTTGGACCGGGCTTATTTTTGCTCGGGCAAACATCCTCTCCTTCTCATCTCCATCCAGTCCTCTCTCCCCCCTCCTCCCCCTCGGCTGTCCTTCTCACTTCTCTCTGCTCTCACCCTTTCTCCTCTTAGTTCCAATTTCCTCTGCTCGAATGAGATGTTGTGTACAGAAGAGAGTGTGTACCTTCCTTATCACCAGCTCCGGTCCGGGTATTAGGCGGGGGAAATGGGCCTGTAATGAAACAGAGTAGTGCTGTGCAAACACACACCCGTCACGTTTGTTGGTGTTTTATGTGTGTGTGTGTGTGTGTGTGTGTGTGTGTGTGTGTGTGTGTGTGCGCGCATACGTTCTGGCGAGTGGCTGATTAAGGGTCGCCCTCTTTCTCATCTCGTTGCTCTTCCCACTGTCCTCGCTTCTCTCGTCTTGTCTCGCTCCTTCAGCCTCTTCCCACTTCTCCTGTCCGTTACCTTTTTTAATCTCTCTTCACGCCTCCCACCCTCTGTCTCTCGGGTCGTCAGTCTTTCCCTTGTGTTATTTACGGTTCCTTTCTCTTCAGTGTATCTTGTCAATTTCAATTGTACACATGTTATTTGGGGTGAAGACGTGTCCTGTGTCCATACCGCGCGTGTGCTTGTAACTGTCTTTCTGTCCCCAGCATCCTTTTCCACCCCCGCAGGAGCCTCCTCCACTGTGCTCCGTGTCCTCTTAGCTCCCCTGGTCCTCATGCATTGTACATGAGTTGAGCGACAGCAGCAGAAGCCCTCGTGCTTCCCTGCTGAGGTTTGCCATGACAGTCGTGTGTGCTCATGTCATGTCTGCAGAACTTGTCTCAGAGAGCGCACGCTCCCCCTGAGCCGACTCTAGCAGAATCGTTCTGCGCTGTTGTGGTTGTTGTTGTCCTTTTTTTAATCTTTCTACAACGCGCTCACAACCGAACAGACTTTGTTCATGCTCCTCTTTGCACGCGCCGATCACCCTCCAAGAGGGGGCTTGTTATAGGAAGATAGCTTAAGTGGGTAGCGTTGAGCTCTAATGACGAGAGTGAGTGATGAGTAGTCGTACTTGCAAGACAATGATACCCAAGGCTCGATACCACTTATTGGGAGAAGCTGCAATTAGAAATGTGGCCAAGTTGTATTCAAATTAAAATCTTTTTTTTATTTCAAACAACATTTTGTAAAGGAAAAACAAATCATTATTAATATTCATGCTGTGATATAAGAGGTCATCATATCCATTATATTTGCAGTCAGTTGTCAGGACTGCAGGATAAACAAAATTCCAGGCAATATTTATCCTCACAACTGGATATGATTGATTGATGGTCAATACGGTACATTGACTGGCTCAGAGGTAGCACAGAAGTAGGGTTTGCAAAAACTGGGGCAGCCAAAAACAGCGATCGAAGGAGAGCGGATGGAGAGCTTCTGTAAGGTCAATACGAGCTCACAACTCAGGGTTTAGATTGTTGTTTTGGTTTTTTACGGTCGACGTGTACACACCGACAGCGGGGTAGTATGGCGAGGGCTGCTGAGAGTGACGGATTGGAACATGCTTCGCCTCTGGCTCGTGCTCGGGGCGGCGCGGTCGCCCAAGTTGGTGGTTTTCAACATTAAACAGCAAATTCTCCCGGTTAAACGGAGGGAGTGAGTGCTGTGTAAAGTCTGTGTTTACCACGTTTGCTATCAGATGCACATCTCTCGTCCCACTTGGTCACGAACGGCTGCATGATGTCTACAGTTCAGGGACGGGTCGGACTCTTAACACGCTGTCCGTCACAGATGAATACACCGTACCTCCTCCTCCAAAATATGGTAATATAAAGGTTTAAATATCACGAGAGCTCATGCATCATGTCATGTACACTATGTATGTTTTGTCACAAACGTTAAATCAATGCTATGTTTTATTTTGAAAACAGGAAATGTGATGTAATTTGTCAGGTGACAGGAACCAGGAAGTCAATGAAGAATATGGCTCAGAACTGCTGTTTGTATTGGTAGCTTTTCAATCCAGTTGAGTCTGCCTGCATCCTATACCTTTTTGATAGCATCGTTGGTACGTATTGATTTGTTTTATTGTTCATTATCATCTCAGGTGATTATTTTTGTGACAATGTTTAGTTTGGATATTTTTGTGCACATGGCCTATTGAGTCATTTGGGTTGGTAACTGCACTGCTATGGTTGTCATTAAAGTCCATATGACTTAATAAATAACAAAGTAAATAAGCATAAATATATAAAGTAGCGGTCGAAGACAATGCACTTCATTTGTATTTATTATGTCTTTTGTGTGTTTTAGTTATACTCTTTCTCATGTCAATAAACCTGTGGACAACGGACCATTGTCTTCAGAGTCGTGATGTCAGAAAAGAGTTCGTCTAACTGCCAAGGTGTATCGGAGCGCATATACCGAGGGCGGCATAGTAAAACAACGCTTTCTACCGGGCAAGATAACGCAGCCAACTGACAGATGCTACTAACAACGTCATCACACGCAACCAGTGGATGACCATCACAGCGGTGTCTAAACAGAGGTACGTCAACAGACAACGCCATGTCCGAGAAAGCAACTTCATTAAAGACGCGGTCCCGCGCTACATGTTCTGCTACATACTCAAGTGTATCATCGACGGGGTCTGCTGCTGCAAAAGCGAGAGCGAGAGCAGAGGCAGCAAAGGCACGCATGTCCTACGCTAAAGAGGAAATGAGCCTGAAGATAGAAAAAGCTAAGCTAGAAGCCTCAATAGAAATGCTCAAATACAAGAAAGAGACAGCTGCAGCTGTAGCTGAGGCCGAAGTCCTTGAAGCTGCGGTAGAGGCAAATAGTGAAAGACAAAGTTTGATGTCAAACTTGGAATCTGCACAACGCACAGAACAATATGTGATTGACCAAGCTGAATCACTAAACACAGACGCTCAGCTGCTTGATGATGGTGTTGTCGCAAAAAGAGAGCCAAGCCAAAACTACGAAACTCCAACTTCATCTATCAAACCTGAAGCAGACTCATTCCATCCGGCTCAAGCCAATATATTTTCCCATCATACACAAAGCCACAATGCAGCTTCTCAACCAACTCGCCTCTCCTCACAGCAGCCTTACATCTACGAAGATGAGAAGGTCCACACGACACACAATGTTCGGTTTGACAACCGCAATGCTACTCCTGAGCAAGGTCTTAGACGTCAAAACGACAAAAGTCATCCCGCTCTTAAATCCTACCCCACATCTTCAAACAACAATAATGAAAACTCCAACATTAGCGACTTTGTAAGATACTTTGCTCGTCGTGAGCTTGTGGCAACAGGCCTGCTTCAATTCAACGACAGCCCTCAGAACTACAGAGCCTGGAAACGTTCTTTCCAGAACGCAACCAGAGGGTTGGACCTGACACCAAGCGAGGAAATGGATCTCCTGTTTAAATGGCTCGGCAAAGAGTCATCAGAACATGTCGAGCACATAAGAGCAATACACATCAACCATCCAGCGGCAGGCTTGGCCATGATATGGGACAGACTAGAACAATCTTATGGTTCTGCGGAAGTAATAGAAGATGCTCTGTTCAAACGTATTGACGCCTTCCCAAAATTAACAAATCGAGATTATTCCAAACTAACAAAGTTGAGTGATCTTTTAAAGGAACTAGAGTCAGCCAAAGATGAAGGAGACCTGACCGGTCTCTCTTTCCTCGATACAGCGAGAGGCGTTAACCCTATTGTACAGAAGCTCCCCTTTGGTCTGCAGGAAAAGTGGGCGTCAGTTGGGGCATCCTACAAGCAGCAATATCACGTGTCATATCCTCCCTTTGCCTGCTTTGTAAACTTTGTTAGCCATGAAGCTAGTGTCAAAAATGACCCAAGTTTCAACTTTTTCTCTTACTCAGACATGTCTCTTAGGACAGAAAAAACAACTTGGAAGCCAAACAGACAACGTGAAGTCTCTGTTCACAAAACAGAGATATTTCCAAAAGATACCTCTGGTCCTAGGGAACCCCCAACACAATTCGCTGACTGTGAACAACTGTGTCCAATCCACAAAAAACCTCACCCCATACGCAAATGCCGTGCATTCAGAGAAAAGCCCATTGCAGACCGGAAGACATTCTTAAAAGAGAATAACATCTGTTTCAAATGCTGCGCTTCATCATCACATATTGCAAGGAACTGCACATTTAATGTTCGATGTTATGAATGTAAAAGTGAAAAACACCACACAGCGCTTCACCCTGGACCTGCACCTTGGGTTGAAGACACAAACTCGGTTCCAGAGCATGGCGGGGAGGAGGATAGCTTTCCACAACCCCATGTCGCCACCAAATGTACAGATGTCTGTGGCGGAGACATGACGGGCCGATCCTGTTCTAAAGTATCCCTCGTGAAAGTGTATCCAACCGGCCACGCTGACAAAGCAGTGAAAATGTACGTGATCCTGGACGAACAGAGCAACAGATCACTAGTTCGTTCACAGTTCTTCGAAATCTTCAATGACCAAAGTCCAAGTGCTCCTTACTCATTGAAAACATGTGCTGGAGTAAAGAAAGCGACAGGAAGAAGGGCCAGTGGCTACATTGTGGAATCTTTGGATAAGACCGTCAGCATTCCACTACCCAGCCTCATAGAATGTGATGACATTCCAAATAACAGAGATGAGATTCCAACTCCAAATGCAGCCTTTCATCACGCACACTTAAAGTCAGTTGCACACCTCATTCCAGAGATCGACCCACAGGCCCAAATTATGCTTCTCTTAGGTCGGGATATTCTCAGGGTTCATAAGGTCCGCAAACAGGTCAATGGCTCACACAACCTGCCCTATGCTCAAAAGTTGGATCTGGGATGGGTCATCGTGGGCAATGTGTGTTTAGGTCGCGTTCATAAGCCACCAACAGTCAGCGCCTTCTACACTAACACCACAGAACGGGGACGCCCCACTCTCTTTGACCCATGTCCTAACGTGTTCCGGGTAAAGGAAAGTTACAGTGACACCCAGGCCACAAACCACCTCCAACCATATTTTGTGGAGATACCAAACTGTGATGTTGACAGCCTAGGACATAACATATTCAAGCAGGCCAAAGACGACAACAACATTGCTCCATCTATCCAGGACATCTCCTTTGTGAAAATAATGAAAGATGGACTAACAAAAGATGCAAACAACAGTTGGGTAGCTCCATTACCCTTTAAATGCCCACGTCAAAGGCTCCCCAACAACAGGCCACAGGCAGTGAACCGTCTCAAGTTGCTAAGGCGCAACTTTGAAAAGAGGCCTGAAATGAGAGACCACTTTCTCATTTTCATGGACAAGATGTTCAAGAATGGTCACGCTGAGCTGGCCCCTCCTCCCAGTGTGGGTGGAGAACAGTGGTACCTGCCAATATTTGGGGTGTACCATCCAAGAAAACCAAACCAAATCCGAGTAGTCTTCGATTCCAGCGCCCAGTACAACGGTGTGTCACTCAACGACGTGCTGTTGACTGGGCCTGATCTGAACAACACACTGCTCGGTGTACTGTTGCGCTTTAGAAAGGAAGCAATCGCTTTTACAACGGACATAGAGCAGATGTTCTATTGTTTTTCAGTGAGGGAAGACGATAGGAACTTCCTACGTTTTCTATGGTTCCAAGATAACGACCCCTCCAAAGACATTGTGGAGTATCGAATGACGGTCCACGTCTTTGGAAATAGCCCCACACTCGCAGTAGCAATTCATGGATTGCACCAGTCTGTTCAGGTCAGTGAACTCCACATTGACCCTGACGTCCAACGTTTTGTGATGCGTGACTTCTATGTAGACGATGGGTTAAAGTCCCTACCCACAGTCGAGGTGCAGTCAACTTGCTGAAAAAAACACAGGACATTCTCTCCAGAAGAGACAGAATTAGATCTTCAGCTCGATGCTACAACCTTCCACTCAGACAGCAAGGTGGTCCTTGGCTACATTTCTAATGAAACCAGGCGCTTTTATGTGTATGTAAGTAACCGGGTATTGCGTATCCGAAGATCCTCTCGTCCAGATCAATGGCGCTATGTGTCAACAGAACAGAACCCCGCAGACCACGCTACACGTGCTGTCACTGCAGGCCGTTTGAATGACACAAACTGGCTGAGCGGGCCCAAATCTCTGTACACACCGGAGACCAGTACCTCAGAGACCACCCATGAACTTGTGGACCCGAGTGCAGACTCAGACATTCGCCCTCTGGTATCCACTTTGAGCACTACGACAACATCCAACCAGCTCGGTTCTCAGCGATTCGCAAGGTTCTCATCCTGGAAGTCGCTAACTCGGGCCATTATTCGCCTCATACACATAGCTCGCCTTTTCAACAGCACCTTGAAGAACAGCCTTTGTAAGGGCTGGCATCACTGCAAAACAGGATTCAATTTTGAGGAGTCTAATCAAGCATCGCACATCATCTTTCGAGCAGTACAGGAGTGACTAAACTCTTTCTTAGGCCTGTTTCTGAGATAGTGCTTCTTTTCCCCCCAGAGGCCTAGTGGAGTGAACTGTCTAGGATTTATTGGATGGCGTGTATTCACGCCAAGCAGGGAGTGTTTTGTCACAAACGTTAAATCAATGCTATGTTTTATTTTGAAAACAGGAAATGTGATGTAATTTGTCAGGTGACAGGAACCAGGAAGTCAATGAAGAATATGGCTCAGAACTGCTGTTTGTATTGGTAGCTTTTCAATCCAGTTGAGTCTGCCTGCATCCTATACCTTTTTGATAGCATCGTTGGTACGTATTGATTTGTTTTATTGTTCATTATCATCTCAGGTGATTATTTTTGTGACAATGTTTAGTTTGGATATTTTTGTGCACATGGCCTATTGAGTCATTTGGGTTGGTAACTGCACTGCTATGGTTGTCATTAAAGTCCATATGACTTAATAAATAACAAAGTAAATAAGCATAAATATATAGAGTAGCGGTCGAAGACAATGCACTTTATTTGTATTTATTATGTCTTTTGTGTGTTTTAGTTTTACTCTTTCTCATGTCAATAAACCTGTGGACAACGGACCATTGTCTTCAGAGTCGTGATGTCAGAAAAGAGTTCGTCTAACTGCCAAGGTGTATCGGAGCGCATATACCGAGGGCGGCATAATGTATATGTAACAGATGTGTTTAGGGCATGGAAGTAGTCGACTCAGGTACTGATCTTTTCAGCATTTATTTGCTCCTGCAGAAGTCAATAAAACACAGACATTGCCTTCTGGTCTCCGCACATCAGCTCACTACACACAGGGTCTATAGACAAGTTTCCTGAGTGAAATAGGCGGGCCGCCATTGGCCTTTTACTCTGCCAACGACTTCCGGTTGTGTCTGCAAAAAGCACTTCCAGTTAGCGAGTTAGCGTCTTTTACGGTCTTTGGTTAGCGTGCAGAAAAAGTAAACTATGGATGTGTTACATGCCGACACGGCTCCGGGACATATTGTGCTGTTCACGGTTGCAACAACTCGTGGCGATTGCTGAATGTTTGGTCAGAAGGAGAATGTTTCGACCATCAACCATCTACAAGTGAGTAAAATGCTATAGATTTGCACTCAAATACAGAAGGCTTATCATTCAAAGTCAACACAGTCTACTAATTATTACGCAGACGAATGTCAGCTTTTTCATAGAAAAAAAAGTAAGTTAATACCTTTATCCATTCCGAAGCTATTAACAGATATGTCAGGGGTGGGCACTTTGACGCTCGTCAGTCGACTTTGAAGGGTTAAAGCATGCTTTTAGTGCAGGCAGGCTAGAGGGGATTACTTTTTCTTTTTATTACTCTTCGTGTTCTGTTATATATTAACACACGGATACATACAAACCTCTTAATACAAGCATAAGATGGGCTAACGTACCTTCCAAAGCACGGCGGCTGCATGGCTACAGGTACAGCCTGCAGTCTCCACATCTCCCGTCATGGTAACCAAAACCCAGGCGTTATGCGCTGAATTGTTAACGGACTGGCTTGGTGGAACATCGGCCTTTAGGTAAATTAAACTGCCCATATCGTGTAAAGTACACAGTCCACTTTGTCGGAATGGAGGTACTGAAACGCCTCTGAGCTTTTCAGGTTATTAAGGCATTCCCATCCACCGCCATGGAATCAATAAAATAAGAAAAGATCTTGGATGTTGTGCTGCTGGGCCATATCGACATGTTGTCCGCCCATGATGTTACCTTACTTGGATGCGGAATGGTCAAAACACCATTTTTAACAAGATTTTCAGTCGAATGTTGCCATTCCAAAGCCCGTTTTACACCACTACTCAGCCTGCGCCGGTTCTTGGCAGAAACAGGAAGTAAACCGGAAGTGACAATAAGAAACTTGTCTATAGAGGGGAACGTATACGTTAGGACGACCGGATGTAGCGAGTACAAACGGCGCAAAATGAAACAATGACCAAACGTATACTTTTACCACCACTCCATCGTCTAGAATAATGACGCACCACAGCTGAGAACCGTGGTCATGTTACCCACGCTAATGGTAGCTGATGTTAACAGTTATATTTAATAACATAGCGAAATAGTGCGACGTCGTTTTTCTCTCAACTTACCTTCAACAGTGTAACGCTACTGTGAAGGAAAAACGGGACTACGGAACCCTAGGAGGCGCAGGAGAGATGAATTGCAATTTCCGCAAATTTGACTCATCAAAATAAAATTCACACACACACGTTCAACAAGATTGTTGAATAATAACCAAAAAATAAAATACAATACTTTGAAAATGACAGTGTATTTCTAACTCTGTTACATATACACAAAGTCCGTATCCTTTAAGATATTTTATCCAACACAAGTTTTTTTGTGTGTGTGTGATCTTTATTAATTAATGATATGTGAAAAGAAAAAAAAAGCCCCAAAAAAAGTCCACTTGTAGCAGTCAGAGGAATACACCTAACTACATGTTGGCTTCCCTCCATTTACACCAGTCTAGAAACTCTATACGGACATGAATGCTTCATTAAAAGAGTAACTTCTGAACGGCCTTGAGTTCATTTTGTATGTATCTGCACACACGTATTCATTTGTATGCACCTTTGTTGAGGCAGCAGGACAGCAGTGTAACCTCTAGTGTTGTGTATGTAGGCTGATAAAAATGATGACAGGACACTAAGATGAATTTATTTCTCTTTAATGTGGGTTCTTTATTTCCCCCGACTGCACTCCTGGAGCACAGCCTTAATGTGTCAAATTAAGGAGGCACTTGGAACAGTGTACAAATAACAAATAACCAGTTGCTTCGCTTCACTAACTAGAACAGGATGTCATGGAATAGAGCTACAATTACCTTAAGCTAGAAATTACATGAAGCTACAGTTACATAAAAATCAACAGTAGTGACCCCTTCCTGTTAAACAGACCAAAGAACATGCACATTGGTCTCATGCTGTTCAAATCCCACACCATTGTCGTTCCTCCAAAAAGTCCCGAAAACAATAAACTCACTCAAGCGCCGGCGCGCACGGCTCCATGCACGTGCAACCTCAACCCACAGCAGCTTGTTACTCCCCTCTAAACGAAGCAGAGGTGCACAACCCAAGAACATACACTCAGTACAGGCAATCAATCACAATTTACATGGTGAGTCAGGTTTATTAATGTGAGAACACTTACGCTGACCCGCAGAGTTAGTAGCCACTAGGTCCCGCTCTGCAGCTCCAAATCCCACGTGAACTCATGCCAATGTACTTAAAGGGGCAGTACGCCCTCACCCTCTGTGCGGACCATCTAGCAGTCCAAAAACCTCCCTGCCCCCACTTTACCCGGCTACATGTAAAGAAATGAGTAATTTTCACTAACAAACTGAGCACAAATACTTGACATGAAGATCTCTTAATAGATATAAAGTGTTAACAATAATACAAAGTGGCAAATTGAAAAATAATCCAATACAAAGAAAATTGTACAATTTTTTATTTTATTTCAGTTCTGAGGAGCCCCTTGATTTGACATTACTGCTTTGTGTGAGTTGGTATCCAGCCAATTATTTTTCTTTGGAAGGTCGAGATGTTGCCGGGCAGCGGGACCAAAGAGCCTGAGATATGCCGACACCATACTCGGGACCTTGCTCTCCAAATCCGTGTAAAATCGCACGGATTGAGGCCCGGTCTGTGCCTCCAACACTGAGCCAGCTGGAAATCTGTTTAATTAAGCACATTAAGATATTTTTTTGCACCCGCTACTCACCCTAGTAACAACATCTCCCTCGACAATCCCTTCAAGATGGCAGTGGAACTGTCGGCTGTCTAGTTTTCACTCACATGCAACTTGCAGCGTATTTATTTCCTTTTAGCTTTTTTGATTCACAGCACACTACTGTCAATATGACAGACAAGACTTGTGCAAAGGATCCTTGTCGTTACTTCGCTGCGATCTCCTCCAACAAGCATCCTTTATTGATTTGATATTTTAGGAATGGGAATGTCCTTGAAGATGGACCTCTGAGATTGCAAGCCTAAGGAGTAAGGAATTCATTAATTAGAAACTTTAGGCCCGTGCGATAATTCAACATAACTGAGCGGTTGATGTGTCCTTCTCTCGCCTTCCCTTTTTCCATTCCAACCCGTCGTCAAAGATGTCGATCAACGGCGTCTGTTGCCGGCCTTCATATATCTGCAGCGTGACCAGCCTTTGCTGCCACCAGAGGATACGAAAAGGAACAACCATGAATAATTTACCGCAAGCAGGAATAAATAAGTGGGTAAATAGACACGAGAAACAAAACGCAAACAATCGCGGCAGCTCGCGTGAATTCATTGCCGGATGGCGTCACGTGTCCTCCTCTCACTCTGCTCTGTGACTGATTCGGGGGGGGCAGCAGGTCGTGAGGATTTATTTTCCTGGCTGGATAAGCGAGTGAACTGATGGCGGGTCGGCTGCTGCGGGAGCCAAATTGTATCACACTTTTGTGTATTCCTTTGTTCCACTGTTATGTAATTTTGTTTGCCGAGCTAAATGGTAGCAGGCGCACTGATGTTCTGTCTCGTACTCTCCACCACAGCGGCACGATTTTGAAAATAGCATCTCGCACCTCAAAAGTACTGCTGTAATTGGAACGTTCATTACAGAGACGCTGATGAGGCGGTTTCTCTCTTTCGGGACCCAGAAAAATACATTCTTGTGTAATGAGGTTCTTGTGCGTTATCATTTTAGCTGAAGCACTTTGAAACATCGCTTGGTGGAGATTCCTCTAAAGTGAATGTATCCGCGTTGTCGTTATCACCAGTAACCAGCAGATGATAAGACAAGGGTATTATTGTTCCCGTCCTCCTCCTTCCCCTCACATAACCTCTTCTTTTTCTTCTGAAATTCCCTCCGTGCCTTTTGTTCCGCCGCCTCCCTCCCCTTCCTCTGCCCTCCTTTCCCTCCTCCTGTCTTCTTTTACCTTGAACCCCCCCCAGGCCCCCCCTCCATACACATCCTCCTCCATCTCTCTTTGTCTCAGCACACGGGCGATGTTATCAGGAAAGCGATGACTCCTCGGGGCGATCCAAATCGGGTTCTCTGCAGAAGATAATGACCACGCCGGGGTTCTACACGGAGGCAATATTCATGCATTAATTGCTGCTGCCGCATCAGATGGCTTCAGAGAGTGATTTGAGACAGAGAGGGAGAGGAGGAGGAGGGAGGAAGGGAAAGAAGAAGAAGATTAAAGGTGTGCAGGAAGGGCAAGCGAGGCGGTAACGACTGAGGCGGTGAGAGGAGAAAGGGAAATGGAGGAGCGTGTTTTTGGAGGGGCACAAAAAGGCAGCGCTGGTAAACCGAGTCGGGTTATTCTGGGGTCAGTGTTGTCTCTGGTGTTCTGCGCTTTCTAAACTACAAATTTGTCTTTCACCGAGGTGTAGCTGAACTCCCCATTACCCTCCTCCCATCTGTCTTTTTTCTTTGGTTTTTCTGTCGTTCTCTCGTTGCAAGATGGAGGTCCTTTTGCGCTGTCATTTTTTAAACTATTTTTATTTCTGGATCACAGACGGGGCCTTGTGTCCCGAGTTTGGATTGGCGGCTCGGTTCAGGCTCCC